GCCATTCCCCCTTGACCTATACATACAGGCCCTTGTAAAACACCCCTCTCCAGCTTTCTTGTTGATCCCTGGGAGAGTTCCCACTGGGAGGCTGCACTTCTCCAGCCTGAACAACCCCAGAGCTCTCAGCCTGTCTTCATGGAAGATGTGCTCCAGCCCTTTGGACATCTTTGTGGCCCTCCTCTGGACTTGCTCCAACTGGTCCACATTCCTCTTTTGTTGCGGGCCCCAGAGCTGAATAAATCATGGATAGATTTTTTTACCCTTTCTTAGATAAAAGTACTTGTTACAACTACTTGGTACAAGTTGCAGATGATTTAACAATTGCATTCTGTCTTTCACTGTATGAAGCTGTAGGAAATGTAGGTGTAGCTCAAACCAAAATTTAGAAATACTGATAACTCTTGTTTCTTGAAGAACTAACACTTTGCTTTGTAGAAAACCTATATGCTAACTTTACGTATACTGTACCAAAAGTTGTGAAATTAAGTTCTTGGGTAATACTGGTCAGTCCATGCACTGTGGAATGATCAACACGTGGACAAAGCAACATGTCAAAATAGATGGAAATCCTGATAACTGCAATATGAAACTTCCTTTAGGTCTGTGAGCTGCTGTAGGAGGGAACACTTATCTGGCTATCGTTGTGGGACAGAAGCTGTAATTAAGCCACCAAAGACATAGTGAGGTGAACAATTCACTTCTTTATTTTTTTCAAAAAAACTAAAAAGTATATTTTTCCTTTTTCTCAGGGAAAATATAAACAGCAAAAGGAAGGGTTTGTTTTGTTCTGTTTTGCTTTTTGTTAGGAAGTTAACAATGTTACTTTGTTTTCTTTATTGTGTCCTTTTTCTTTTTGAAGAGAAAAGGCAGAAAAGAATTTTTCCCCATCAAAAGATAATGAGAAATACTTGAAATATTTTCACTGTTATCAAACATTAAGTTTTTGTGAAAGCACTGTTTTTAAAAGAAATATTACAAATACTCTTGAAGATAGTTTTGCCAAGACTCAGCACTTTGTGAGAAAGATCGAGATCTGATCTCCGCAATTTTCTGTGTTACTCTTTTAACCTGGGCTTGATTCTCAGAAATGGGATGGCTTTACTGTGTGTACAGATTTGCATCCAAAAATTTTCAATTTTTCATCTCAGTAATATTCATTACTTCCACACTGTGTGTTTGAAAGTCAACTGTATGTTCAGAAATGAGGGTTTTAGGATCTTAACCACTGAACAGCCATACATGTCAAATGTCACTTGATTAGTTAGCAACCACCTCACACCTGTACTTGGCCTCTGAACACTGGCTTCAGTGCAACCTGATTCACCATCGGGATGCTGTGCTACTTGCTGGAGCAGGCTTATCCTTCTCTCTGAGCATCTCAAACACATGTACCAATTTATGGGCAAGGTGTTGACCACTGAGGTCGCAAATTTCATTTAAAGTATGAACTGCTTCTTCCTTCATTGGGGGCTTTTGAACTCCTTAGGTTATCTCCAAAAGTGACTGGCTGCATAGGACTGAATTGTTTTCCCATCCCAGACAGAAAGATGATTTTGTCCCTACAGCTCAGTAGTGTTTCTTGCCCCATAAGTAAGATGATCTATCCAGCCTCCAGAATTTAAAGTTTTTCTTTCTCATATCCAATGTGACCTTTTTACCAACTCTATGAATCAGTTTTCCTTTCCCATATCGTTCATCCTTCTTCATGTCCAGGGTTTTTCTTGTGCTTGTCCTGACTTTTCCCTACTCTTATCCAACCTGTCACTTCTGTTCCACAGTGCCCCAAAACAGGTACTTCCAAGAGGATTTTTCAGGGTGTTTCCCTCTTTCTCTCCTCTTACGTGAATGTCTTAAAGTTATGCTGCTTCTTTGCCCCAAAGAACCCTACAAACAACAGAGAGGGGAGGGAGGTAAATTCCGTCTTGGTTTAATGCCTTTCTTCAGCAAATCAACCTTAGGAGATTTCAAAACTAAAATTTATTTTCAGATGCTAACTGTTTGCCAAAAAGCATATTAACCAATTGTATAATGAACATAGAGTTCCTCAGAAGCAGTTGCACAGACTTGGCATCTCTGCTTTCCATAGTGAAATGAAGTCCCCCGCAAAACCAGCCGAAATTTGGTCCTAATGCTGTTAATAACAGTTTGGAAGCTTGAAATAATAAAAGCATCAGATAGGATCCTTTTTCTGTTAATATTTTATCTTTTTCCTGTCTTCCCCTCTTATTTTTTAAAAGTCTTAAAAAAAAGACTAAAAAAAAAAAAGAGGGCAGAGTGCAAGCGTTATGAAAATCTTCTTGCAAATGTAAATGCAATGCTGTTGCACTTGTGGAGCTCATATTCAGGGTGCCATCTACTGGCATGCAGGGCCGGTAACACTGTCAGGAGTCAATGGAGTTTGGGCAGCAAAGGATCTCTACCTAGAAATCCTAAAGGAGCAACTTCTGTAACATGTACTTTTCCTTCATGTCCTGCAATATTGTGCGGGATCTCACCATGTTCTATACTAAGACAAAAAAGATCTGATTATGAAAATTTTGAGATTTGGGTTTTTATCTTTTATGGTAGTTCCTGTAACTTGGGTACCTCAGTATCCTTGTTATACTCCGATGTGTGTGAATTAGTTCCAGGTTTGGGGAAAATGAACCAAGGTTCAACAAGATTAGAATAAACATTTTCAGAAGTCCTTTCAGACTTATCATTTACTGACTGTGTTCCTATTTGAGATCCAGGGCATGACTTTGTCATACTATTAAGCTTTTTTATAGCACTTCATGTGCCAACAACACCAGGCAGACACTAGCTAATTAAAACTCATAATGCTCCCAAGAAGAGATATGTCAGAGTCTTATAGGTGGGAGATTTCAGAAGAAAATCTGAGAGATGTGCTCCAGCCAAACATTGGATTGGTGACAGAGCCAGTGTCGCTCTTGTCTCTCAAGTCTGATCAGCTCTCCAGCCTGGAGCCTACTGAAAATCTGTTGAGAAGCAGTTTTGATTTGATACCAACATGAAATACAAAATGGGTTGATTCTCCAAGTTTAGAAGGAGGAAAAAAATCATTTCCTACTTAGAGCTGCTGCAGACCTTACTGCCAAAATGGCAAAGTGTCACCGTGATATGGGTTTGAGCAGCAACTGCTCTGGAGGGTGGTAAAAAGTGTCTTGGGGATGGAGAACACTCAGCGTTGTCTACCAAAGGTCCACTTAAAGAGTTTTCCCCGGTGTCATACACCAACTCACAGCAAAAACAGACATACATAATCCTGAGCAGCAGGACATATATAAAAATAGCTTTAGGCTATTTTTCTCCTCTTTTTTTCTGTGATTTAACTTCTGTAGGGAACCTTGAGTAACTAATTCAATGTAGGAAGCTGTCATGATCATAAGCTTTAACGCTGCTTATATTAAAATTAGTGTTTCTATCACAGCTCATAATATTGAGTGAGTAATGGTTAATTTTGAAGCACTTCTCATTTCTCTCTTCAAGGGTGCTGTGTTTCCTTGTATTTCCATTACTTTAGCTTATGAGTCCAAATCCCCCTGAAGATATTCAAAAGCATTCTGGACATGGCCCTGGGCAACTATCTCTAGGTGGTCCTGCTTGAGCAGGGGACTTGGACCAGATGACTTTCAGATGTCTTTTCCAACCTCAACCATTCTGTGACTACATGACCTCTCATTATCATTCTCTATATGTGAGGCAGTTTTCTGTAAGGAATTGATTTATCAAGGCTAGGAGAGGGTGAAGCAAGGAGGGTTGTGTCCTTCCACCAACATAATAGCTATGGTCTTGCCCAGAGACATGCAGTAGTGCTCCTCATCTCTTTCTCTCACACTGGTACAGTATCTTCCTCTCCTCTGATGCCTTCATAAAAATTGACATTCTTAAAATCAGGGAATTTCATCTTTTAGAGTCTTCAGAGGTTGGGGAGATATTGCTAGAAAAAGTCGTGATCTTCAAACCCATTTGGAAAATGCTGATTTTCAACAGTTTATATTATAACTGCGTTTAAATGGATTTCCATTGCTCTGGCTCCATAATTGGGAAACCAGCTTATATAGCATCTCTTCCTCACCCATTTTCTCCTACAGTTACACAGGAATATAAATAGCAAGTTTTCTCGTGACTCTTACCATATTACTTCTCCCACAACTTACATATAGTAGTGCCAGGGTGAACTGGGGAAGGGAAGGAGGAAAGTAGAGAAAGTGCTGTACACCACTGTCCTGATGTTTTGTACAAGAACTATGAAGCAACTCTTGCTGATGAAAAACGTTTTGGGAATTTAAATTGTCAACATGCAGTTTATTGAGTTGCACTAAGGCTGACACAGGAGGTTGAACAGCAGCACTGCTAGAGAAGGTGATCATTCTCTATGAGTTCCCTCTGTTCTTCCAAGGGCTTGAGAGCTGATGTGCTCAGCCAGTTCTTCATTTCCAAATTTTTTAAAATGAACAAGAGAGATAAAAATCCTATCCCTGTTGTTATTAGAATATAAAAAATAAGTGAAATTTTATTAGATCTGGGTTTGAATCTAGAACACTAACAGGGTTGCAGTATGGTCCTGCAATGCACTTGTAACATGCATGTATTGAACTGTGGAGGTAAGTTATGTTAATTGGCTTCACAGCATGTCGTTTTCCTTTGCAAGATTGAAAATGTGTAGCGTGAGCAGGGCCAAAGAGAAAATGTAGTGGCTGCCAGCTGGACGTGACAGAGGCTTGCAGGGAGATTACACCATAGACGAGAATGGCTTTTGAGATAAGGATAATCTTTTACATAAACTAACTCTTCCAACGCAGTTTGGATGGGTGAGTGATAAGGACAGTAATAAAACTACAGGCTGACACAGCTGATAGTTATCCTGGTGTTCAAAGAAGATCAAGATCTTGCCAGCAAGATAACTCAGCTTCTCCTGACTACAGTGACATATAACTGGCATTGATGCATTTTTGCATGGAGGATTCCTAATGCTCTTATTTTATGTTCTTCAGGTCAACCCAGTAACTGTGGAAAGGTCTGCAGCTTCTGGTATGGCCTCCGAAAAGCCTAATCCTTCCCACCACAGTACGGGGGCTGTTCAAATGAGGATCAAAAATGCCAACAGTCACCACGATAGAATGAGCCAAAGCAAATCTATGATTTTGTCTGAGAATGTGAAAGTCCCTGAGCCTGTAAGTAAAATACTCATAACAGTTTCCGTGTCTTCTGATAATTTAAAAACTATAGAATTACCTTATGTGTGGTTAAGATACTGGTTTTGTGATCATCCCTTGCAAGGAGGGATTTAATGGCACTAATACATTTTTAGGAGTATGGCGAGGCACTGGATTAACAATTTGCCTTCTATGAAAGAAAGAATTTGGCTTTGGTGGCCATGATCATAGCAACTACTCAGCATTTCAGCTCTCAAGTGTTACAGTACCTAAATATGGCTTCTGTAGAGCATAGTACTTACAGTATCAGATACATGTCATGATTTCTCAAAAGGCAAAATTTAAAAGCTGACAAAAGAAATAAAAATGGAAATTACAACTCTGTAAATAAAAGACAACTTTGTCCATAACAAAAATAAGTCTTGCTGAAAGAATGAATTGTAACAAGTTAGAGGCTGAAGTTACTTTATTATTGTAATAGTTGACAGAGTTGAAAGAGTTGACTCATTTTTTATCCATTACTTCTTTTTTTTTTTTAAATTAGTTAGTGATGAACTCTATTGCCAGTTGTGTCCCTGCCCCTGTACTCCTTCTGAGCTACTAAACAAAACTGATTGATATGAGTCTCCCCTGGTTAATTTTCTTCCGTAATGGTAGCAACTTGCAGCTGAGGCCATATGATGTTACAAAATTATTTATGCAATGTTAGCCACTTTTTGGATTCCAGATCCATTTTGTTCTCAGAGAATGCAAATGAGGGAGAAAACTCTGTTAGCTGGAGACAGAGTCCCAGGTCTCAGTCACTTCTCACAACCATGCCAAACATTAATTTTTTGTTTTCTTGATGTAATGGATTCCTATGAAATACTCAGCTTCTAAAAAGTTATTAAATGGAGGAAGCCTGCAGTAAGCTGTATTTTTTTCCTTTTTACTCAAAGGTCAAACTCAAAATTCAGATTTATTTAGAAATACATTATTTTAGTTATTAATTTCTCTGATATAGTGATATAGCTTAACTAATTTCACTTTGTATTTCTGGAAAGAAAAATCTCTTTAGATCTTAGCAGCTGATAAGATACTCAAATACCTTCCATTTAAATGATACTGTTTGTCTCAGACACACTGTACATGTTTCTTCCTTTTTATCTGACGTGAAATGTTCCTCCATTACAAACCTGAAACAATGCTTATAGTAATTTACTGTGAATACTATAATGCATTATCAGGAAGAACTGTACCTTTGAAAAAGTTTAAAAGTTAAGTATATTTAATGATGCCTAACATATTTTATTGGCTGTGTTTAACAAAAGGCACTAGGCTGCAGTCGTTTTTGACAAGCATGAAAACATCACAGCATGAGACTGCAAAAGGAATTATGTAGAGAAATTACAAGTGATCCATCTCTCAATGAATTATCCACCTCAATAGCCTGCAGAACTCAGCTACCAATTAACACCTACTTTATTACATGTTGGGATGTACTTAATAACTTTCATGTGTTTATGCACTATTACCTTGACTGATGCCTCTTGTACAATTAGGCATAATTGGCATATCAATATGCAAAAGTTAAAAGGATTAACCCTCTTAAAACTAATGAGCATTTCTGTATCCAGCTGCTAAATGAGACAAAATTAGCATTTTTCACTTTTGGGCAGGATTTTATCATGCAGTTTCTCATTGTTGATATTACCTTGTTACATAACTTTAGTTTTGGGGATAGTATGCTGGACTGTTACAGAGCAAGGGCTCTAAAAAGTTAAATTAGACATAAATATTCAGTGCCACATTCCAATAACCATAGCAGGTACAATATATGTTCATTGGCTGAGAGCTGAAAAGTTGCTTTGTGTTGCATTTGTTTAGTAGCTAATTATATAAAAGTGGAATTTTACTGAGTATATGTCATTTTACCAAGCAAACTTGGCTCTGACATAATAGATTGAAAGCTTGCCATGTTACTAATTTCCTTTCTATTTTAATTCTTTTCATCTCATTTTGCCATGCAGAATTTTCTGACTAGATATTGACAGACTAAAAGAGTTTTGGCGTATTTACTTCAATAAGCTTCTTAAAGTTGCTTGCTAATGCCCAAACTAAAAGCAAAATTCCTAAGAATCCAAAAATTTTCAAATACGTGCTCTAAATGCAGTGAGATTCAAGTTAAAAACCAGTGAAATATCAGTTGGTTGTAGCAATTGCATGCTGACATATCTGAATCTGTGCATGTGACTCATGAAGGAGTTTGGGGAAAGTAATGGAGGAGAGTACTCTAAGTGTCTTGAAAAAGCAGGGTCCAACTGATATGCACACACATGCTCGTATATATGTATATATGTACATTCAGTAATCTTGTTTTAAAATTCATGATGTTCTTTTCGGGGCACTCATATACATAGTCTTCAATTTTGCATTTAAAGATGCACAGATCCCTATTACCGGTGTGTAAAGCAGGGCTAATTTATTTTGTGCTAGAAAAGAAAAAGGATTTATCCTGATCTTTCTATTTGTAAATTTACTATTTTCAACAGTCTGCCTCTGTTTCAGTGATAGATATAATCTACAAGGTATCCATTGATTATGCTTGTTTTCTGTTTTGCATTGACTGAATATTTTTGTCCTATCATTGGAGAGATTTTTCTTTTAAAAAACAAGCAATAGTTGAAAAGGTACTCTGTATTACTCTTTTGACACCCATATTTCAGTGTATGTAATATGTTCTATTAATATATGGGTCAAATCTTTTTTATTCAACTTAAGCAAAACCTACTGACTTCAGTGGATTAAGGCAATCAGCATCTGGCACATTTTGAAATATCAATTGAGAAAATATATTTCTAAAATGTATTCTTTTTGGGGGGGAAAAAAAAAATCCCTCCAGACAAGAAAGGGCAAAAACCAGGCACAAAACTAGAAGGAAGACTGGTGATTTATAGAAAAGAAAATACATAATTTTCTGTAAGGGATTTTTTTGTATTCTTAAGTATTTGCTGTGGTGCTTGTGAGCACACCTGGGACTATAGGTTTGAAGGTGGACAAATAATTTTCTATAGGGTGACAAAGAAGGATATGCATCATACATCAGTAGGGCCATATGCACTTGCGCATTTTATAGTAGTGAAGATGCAAATGTGGAATGCATAAGCTAACTGATGCAAGAGCTAAATGTAGATTCTTGGGGGTTTATGTTATTTATTTCGATGGAAACGCTTCAGCTTTGTGCAAAGGCTGAAACTGATACTAATGTAGAGTTTAAAGAGCACAAATCACTAAGCAGGACACAGACTGGTAAGCGAGGGTTCTTTTTGTCCTTATTGTTAGTGTCTGAACTAGCAATGTAAATGAATATTTGCTATTTTCATCTGTTAAACCCCAGGGAAGTGCATTTTGCTTCATTCAGAACAACTTCAAACAATGAAATGTCTTTTTTTATTGGTGTCTATATTAAGAATTAGAACCTATTTAGACATTCCAAAATGTTAGTGTATTAGTGCTTTTTTCTGATTAGGTTAAGCAAATGGGTAGGTTTGTTTATCTCTCTAATACATTATCAAGGAAACAGGAAGCAGTCTTCTTTTGTTTTTTACTCCTGTGATCATAGAACACTTGCCAAAGTTATGGCTAGCCAAAAAGACAAAAATAAAATTGCTAAAAATATAAGCCGTCTGTTTAGCAGAGTTTTTGAGCCGTATTTTGAAATTGCAGGGCTTGTTCATGTTTACTTCAAATCAAGCTTATAGTTAAGTTTGGGGCTTTGTTTTTATAGATTGTCCTGAAGTAGATCCTGATATTTAATTAAAATGACACTAAATCACATTGAATTGATAAGACTTGGCATCTCAAACAAAGGTAATTGCCCGTATTGGTTTTGTACAAAAATAGAGCTGCTTGGAAAATGTGCAGCCAACACAGACTGTCAACTCCATTTATAGATCAATATGTGAAAACCATTGATCAGGCAGGCATGTGTAACAGTAACACTTTGCATTTATTTGTTGTTTTTATACCACGATAAGGCTTACAGGATTATCGGCTTCCAAAATATTTTGACTTCCTCGTAAATATGTTATCTGTTTAATGTTAATTACAAGACAGTCTCCAGCCCTCTCTTAGAGTATTTTCAGATACATTGCTATGGGTAGTTTTAGCTGAAAATGGATTATTTCCAGCTCTGAGAGATCATCAGAGCTTCTTTTGTAGTATAGTTTATTTAGGGAAAGTTTTTGAGGATTCAATTTTTTTACCAAGTTTATTTTTTTTTTCCTGGAGGATAAAACAAATCTTAACAAAATAGTTCTAAAAGCGGAACCTATTCCTATAATAGGTGTGTACGTCTGAGGTGGAATATTCTCTTTATTGTGTTCTAATAGTGACTACTCAGGCATTATACTCTACAAATTTTATCATCATACACTAGTCCATTATAACTGCATCTACATTTATCACTGTAAGGATATAGCTATGTTCCCTCCAAGGTTTTACGCAAACTGTATAATAGCACTGGGATAGATACAGAAAAATTTCAGTTTCCCATGACGAGTAATTGTTAATAAATGCAAGCTTACACCTTTTTCCACTTTAAATATTTCAGGGTATGTATGAAATCAGAGAGTCCATGAACACAGTCCAGTTTCACTTCTTGAACATGAATATGGTAAAAAATAAAACTTACTTGTTGAGTAACATTAGTCATTCTCCTTTTTAGTGCAGGAAAATGAGAAATGAAGTGTGTCATATGTGCTCTTACTGTATTCAAACTGGTTTTGTGTTTTCAAAACCTAGATCTGCTCTCTGGTGTGTTTAGCATCTGCAGACAGACTCGTTTGGCCCTTGACTCCAGTTTTTCAGTTATTTCAGCACAGGAGTCCCTTGCTCCCCACCTGAGGAGCTGCTCCTGCTCTGGGGCAGAGGCCTTCAGCTTCCACTGACAGCACTCCCAGATGTGCCCCTATATGCTCATGTATGTTCTGCATACCTTAAAGTCCTTTGACTTAGAGGCTGAAAGTAAAATACTTATG